TTTTAGAATGAGGCAGACAAAAATTAGAAGGTCGGTTAATTTTCCCCTCCTTCTCCTGCTTCAGCTTCGTCTCCTTGGGTATCCGATGTCCACAACTGTTAAAAAGAAGGAAAGATTGTTCATTATGGGGGGGAGAAAAAGAAAATATTTTCATGTATATGCTAAGGTACAGAATGAAAATATGGTTTTAGTTGAAAGGCTTTCTTAAGACAAAACACCACTGAAGATAATAACTCAAGTAACAAAACATTTCAAAGCATTATTTTCTCCCTAATCATTTTATACACATGGTAGTAACATAACAGTTGTCTTTAAATAGCTATGTCAGATACAGGAAACTCTTGGTTATTCATAAAAAGTCAAGGGAAGTAAAACAAAAACCCATGAAGATAAATATTACAAGAGACAAAGCATCAAGAATTTATTTCTTGTTATATTTGTCATAAGAATCCAAGAGCTAAGATGTATTAGAGTTGAGTGCAAATAAACAATATCATGGAATCTGGCCCATGACTAGAAGCTAAAGCTGACTGCTCTGTTCTCCCCTGGTAGAAATGAGACGAAGACTCTCCCCAGAAGAAAGTACAACACTACGCAATTCAAGAGTTAGCATCAACTTGGAGTTGAACTATAACTTCAGCCTTTCTGATATTTTAGTCTAAACTAATAAAATGACAGCATTTTTCCATAAACATATACTTTTTGTGAATTTATGTAACTCAAAACAAACAACTGAACACAAAATAATATTGTCAGAAACAAATCTTCTAAGAGAGATCAAAGTTTTTATGAGCTATCGTAGTAGGATTATAATTCTATTACGTTTTTTCATTAATGTTATAGTTTAAAGCAGATTAGAAAATTTCATGTTAAAAAACTTCAAAATAGCTATATTAACTGGTTTAGCAATAAGTTTTTTAAGTTTTATTATTATATGAGGGGGCTTCAGAAAGTTTATGGAAAAAATGAATTAAGAGATAATGGAATTTTTCCATGAATGAACTTTTTTAAAGCCCCCCCCCCGGCCCCCATACAATAACTTTGAAAGGTAATTTTTAACTAAAGGATTGGTTCAAAATCTTTAAAAGTCTACTTGATTATTTCTTCTTCTCATGAATTATCCATTTGTTTTATTTTTCTATCTAGAAAGAGACTTCCCCCAAGATCACACCGAAGCCAAATGACCTCTCTAAGTCAGTGTTCACTGAGGGGTTTTCTAAGACAAGATGAAATCGTCTCTCATCTAATGCCTTTTCGAGTTCTAACCTTTAAAGATTCTTTAATTTCCCATATAAACATACAGAAGAAGTTTGATAACCTTTCCAGGTTAACTTGTTACGTTTGACCAGATGTAGACTCAGATACTGTGTGTTCAGTTTTTGAAAACAATTTTCTACTAAAAGGAGCCAACCAACCTATAACTATGATAGCTGATACTACTTGGACTAAGAAGACACATTTAACTTTAAGAGAATTAGAACCAGGATCTTGATTTTCCTCTTACCCAGACTTAGCTGTTAGTGTACTCTTCACTAATAGCCGTGCTATACTGAAACCAAGATTCAAATGGTAACTTATGTCAGGGTCCCTTGAAAGATGATGACAATACAACATTATAACTAGGTCCCAAGTTCTAACTTTTAGAATGCCAGCCAATGAAAAGAAAAATTCTTAAAATCAACAAATTGAAGTTTTTATCTCTTAAGGAACTGTAGCTATCCCTCTTGCCTACAATAAAATACTCAAGCTTTATTTTTAGGTGTCACTATAAAGGGAACACAGCACCATGGCTCTGTGGAAGAAAGATGAGGCTTTTTGCTTCCACAAAGACTGAAAGGCTTGGAAACCCTATACAGGTGTCACCGAGTCGTTCCAACAAAACATAAAAATGTAATGTTAAGTGCCATCAAGTCGATTCCGACCCATAGTGACCCTGTATAGGGTTTCCAAGGAACACCTGATGAGCTTGAACCGCTGGCTTTGCAGTCTGGTGCATTAACCTACAGCATCACACACCAGGGCTCCTTAATTGTAATAATACTAAAAAAAAAAAAAAAAACCCTCTTCATTATTAATATTCAGCACTGGAATATAAAACTGGCATGTGGAAAACAGACAGTGGGCTATAAAGCTGAAACATATAATCACAATCCCGAGTGCTGAAGAAAATTGCCCTAAAACGATCAGATACCAATAAAAACTGTATCCTAAGCTCCTTCAACCAACCCACCCACTGCCATCAAGTCAATTCCAACTTGTAACCACCAATAGAGGGTTTGAGACTAATCTTTATGGGAGCAGACAACCTAATCTTTTTTCCATGGAACAGGTGATGGGCTTCAAATGCTGTCCTTGTGGCCAGCAGTCCAATGCCTAGCTCATAGCATTAGGGCAGTGAGTTTATTGATATATATTAAACTGAAGCCTTAAATTCAGTATTTAATCTGAAAGAATGAAAAAAATCCTAAGAAACCAAGAATACTCATCACCAATTCCAATGTGTGGACCTATTTGGATTAAATAAACTGTTATGAGGGAGGAGAAAGAATTAGAATTTGGACACCCTTGAGATACTGTATTTTATAAAGGAATGTTTTATTTTGGTGTGAAAATGGCATTATGGTATATACCATTAAGAACAATTATGAACTTTCAAAAAAAAAAAAAATCACAGTGTTTTTTTAGTAAGAGACTATGAAATAGATTTCCATGTAGAGTCTTGTGAAGTATCAGAAAATCTCAAACTCGCATTATTAATTGCCCTACAGGTCTGTAGGCCATCACCCATTTCACAGTCTATGTCCCTGCGGCAGCTTGTGTATTACTTTGAGGTTTAAAGCTTGCAACAGGTATTATTTGAAATATCAGCAAGCTACCCAGACAAGTTTCAGGAGAGTTTCCAGATTTAAGACTAAGACAGACAGGCCTGGTTATCTATTTCTAAAAATTCATCAACGAAAATGTTATGAATAACATTTGTTTCTAATACATGTCCACTGCTAAAGGAGGGTGTGGCGTTTGGGGAAGTAGAGGAACTATGAAGACAAGGGAGGTCCCTCAGGTGAAGTGAATGGACAAAATAAACTATGAACTCGACCATGCTGGCAACTGTGAAGCTGGCACAGGACTGGGTAACTGCTGTCATGAGTCAGACAGCAACTATCTAAGGAGGCAACTTTATAAACAAGAAACCCTATGTACCTTTTAAAATGAAATTTAAACATACAAGTTTCAATGTACTTTTGATCCCCCAAAAAGGAACTTTCTGTGACTAACAGAAAAAAAAAAGTAACTACTCAGATTGAAATGGGAAAAAAAGGTCTATGAAATTAATGGAGTCCTGGGGTCAATGCACTAGACTGCAAAGTCAGTTTGAACTTCAAGGTCAGCGGTTCAAGCTCACCAGCCTCTCCTCAGAAATCCTACATAGGGTCACAACCAACTTGAAGGCACTCAGCAATAATGTGATTAGGAACCAAACCCCACACCCCAAAAAACCATGAAAGTTTTAACAACAGACACGTATGGTTCCAAGTAACACAGCTGGTAGGTTTGAACTACTTACTGACCTTTGTGTTTAGCGGTCTAGTGCTTATCCTACAGTAAATTACACATTGTCTTAATAACATCTTAATTTTCTTTACTTTTAAATACTTATCTTAAACACTGTAGCAAAACCATTTAATGATGCTGTTTTGTACTTACTGTCAAGTTGTCTCTCAGTAACTGCATTATTAGTGTGCTGTCTTTGTATGACTCTTCACTTAACGTATCAAGTTCAGCAATGGCTTCATCAAAAACTGTCTTTGCAAGAGAGCAGGCTTTCTCCGGGGAGTTCAGAATCTCATAATAGAACACAGAGAAGTTAAGAGCCAGACCAAATCTGATAGGATGCGTTGGTTGCATTTCTTTTTTGCTGATTTCAAAAGCTTCTTGGTATGCTTGTTGTGACTGATCCACAATTCCTGGATAATAAACACACCAAAATGTACTGATGAAGGCTTATACCTTCTACCCCTCAAGCCAAACCTTTAATAGCCAACACACCTTCTGAAATATTAAATTGGTAACATCTTTAATTGAACAACACTCGTAACAAGAAAGGGGCGCCTCCTCAGTCATCACACTAGCCCCTGGCCAATGTCACACTATGAACAATTTTATAATCATCGCAGTATTGATACATTTTTTAATAGTTTGCCCTTCTCTATAGGTTTGCTGTGACGGCTATTTCTTATGAAATGTTATGGAAACAACCCTCTGCACAAAATTGGCTTTCCAGAAAGCTGCAGGTTAATGTGCTGGACTATAAAGTCAGTTTGAACCAAAAGGTTGGCGGTTCAAGCTCACCAGTCGCTCCTAGGAAAACCTATACAAGGTCACTGTGAGTCGGACTGACTCGACAGCACTTAATATACATTTTATAGCACTACATTAAGCAGTGCATATATACTCTCAGAGAACTAAACACAAAGAACATGACAGCTCCTTTTTCAGTGTTATAAGCATTTTTAAAACAAAATATGTTAACACTTAGGAAGAGACTAATTTAATACAAACTCAACAAAACAGACTTTATGAACAGCATACCTTTCTTGTCATCACCAGCAGCAACTTCAGCCAAGTAACGGTAGTAATCTCCTTTCATTTTCAAGTAGAAAACTTTGCTCTCTGCTAGTGAAGCATTGGGGATCAAGAACTTTTCCAAAAGAGACTTAGGAAGAAAAGAAACAACAGTAAGGGGGGGGTGAGTCAAGAACTTTTCCAAAAGGTACAGTAGTTATGATAAACATTTATATAAAATCATTGTCTATTATCACCTTAGTGTAGTAGGGGGAGGGGGCAGAATAAGGCATAATTAGACTTTTCTTTTTATTTGTTGTTGTTGTTGTTAAGTGCCTTCGAGTCGGAGCCGACCCATAGCGACCCTGTACAGGGTTTCTGAGGGTGTAAATCCTTACGGGAGTAGAAAGCCTCATCTTTCTCCTGCGGAGCGGCTGGTAGTTTCGAACCACTGACCTTAAGGTTCGCAGCCCGATAAATGATATATATCACCTACTTGCATGAAAAAGTTTGGTCAATACTTTTAAATGTTAACTCTAACTTCTGTGTGTTTACCCCTAATTTTTATGTTCAGTGGTGGGTGGGTAAACAACTTTAAGCCAGCTTCCACCGCTCTTTCACAATTCCAGCTGGATACCTAGATGCAGTAGCAAGTGTAGAGGCCAAGTCACACTGTGTTTATAAAAGGGGTTGGAAGTATGGGTATGAGAAATCATACCTTGTTCTGTGATTATTCTAAATCAGTATTTTTAAATGGCCTGAAATCATAAGAGTACTTTATTCAGGATAGTAGAACTGTAATCACACTACATATCCATACCTTCATATTCAAAGACTTGTCAACTGAAAACGTGTACTATTCGTTGAACACCACACTCTTACAAAACACTTAGGGTTAACTCTTTGGGGATGTGTCTCAAACTTTAATAGTCAGTGGGTTTTTTTTTCCCCCCCCTACATAATAACACTGGTCTTGTGAAAAATGACCAGGCTTTTTCAAGTTTTAGGTCTTGAAATACTTTTGAGCTTTGAACTCACTCTCAGTTTGAACGGTGGCATTCCAATCCACTGTGTGACCTCATCTGTAAGGTTGAGATTGTAACACAAACCTCAAAAGGCTGTTGAGAGAACATGCCCTTATAATCACGATATACATACCATAACACTACGCTAGAAGCTCAATAAAATGTATCAATACTTTATAAACTAGCTGTAGAGTCAAGTAAAAACATAATTCTCTCTACTACAAATGTTTATAACTAATATTAACAGTGATGAGACTGAAAAAAAATCTTTGGTCAATGCTACATTGTTATAATGTAGTAACTTCTGATCAGGAGGAAGATTCTGTTTCTGATTGCATTGGTCCAAGGTCAATACTGAATTAGCTATAAAACCTATGTGAAAAAAGTAATTAACGTGATTACCCAGAATTCACAAATGAAATTGATATTTGTGGATAATTTCAAATAAACAGCAGGAAAACTTATAATACAGAAGGATCAATAAACAATTCCAATTAATTATGAACTGCTTTCTACATCATTTACACTAAAGCCAGTGTAATCACTAAATCACAGTTACATTCCAAGACTAATTTCAAATAAAGAACAATCATGAAATAAATTCTCCACGTAAGCACGCTTATTTTTTATTTACTTTGTTGTTAAGTGCCATTGAGTAGGCTCCAACTCATAGCTGGTGGGTTTGAAACAACAACCTTGCAGTTAGCAGTCCAGTGCTTATCCTATAGCACCACACCAGGAGCCCCCACCCCATTATTTTACTACTTCAATACAATTTATAGATCCATTTATTCTCCACTGCACTAGGTACTGAAAATGAAGAGCAAGACAGTCTTCTCAGTTCCTGGGCAAGTGGTCTAGCAGGGAAGATAATGAAAACTGGAAACATTTTCTAATCATGTCCTTTGCCTTTCAATTTAAAAAACCCACTCTGTGTGTAAAAGATGTAAGCAACAGACATGCAGTTAGTTAAGGGTGAATTACTTAAAGCATACATCAGAAAAATTGTTATTTAAGCAAGATGTCAATAAATACTACTATATTTAGTTAATCCATCTTTTATGAGTAGCGACACTTCGGTATCCCTCAAAATATTTTACTTTACACTGGGGTAATGTCGAACTAAGAAACTTTCTTAAGTTAAGAAAGGAAGATACTGGCTTAGCTTTTCAGTCTTCAGATGACACAAATATAAGAATCATTAAGATTTAAAAAAAAATAAATAAATCAAGCAAGACTGGGTTAAAGATTAATTTTTTTTTTTTTTTTTGGAGGGGAAAGCACAAAAGTCTAACATTTTGATTCAAAAAGCAAACTTTACAAGAACAAAATTATGGTAGATGTCTTTGATTACCTTTCCCAATATGGGCCTACACCTGGTCTGATAAGCTTCCCCATTTGCTGCCTTGGAGCCCCTGAACCATCACATGCAAGTCAAACTGTCTTGCTGGAGAGAAAGAGGCCAAGCTAGTTACCAGTTAGTTGCTGAACTATGAAATAAAGCCATCCCGGATATTTCAAACTGAGCTCAACTCTCAAATGAATATAGTTTATGAAGTGACCTTAGCCAATACCATATATGAAGATTTGACCAACACAATCCAAGCAAAGTCCTAGAATCACGCATAGGAATACAAATATCCCTGTGCGTTCTAAGTTTGCTTTAAGCTACGTTCACTTTTACAAATAACGTAAGGGACCTGTTTTTGCTAAACAAAAGAAGTGTGAAGACGATTTTCACTTCAAGAAAAAAAGATGAGAAGGGTAACTAGTATTCAATGTCTGTTTTGCAGCAAGCCAGTACAGTGGAAAAGTGAGCCTTTAGCATCAAGAGAGGTGATGCCAAGCTCCTTCCCCAGAAACTACACTCAGCACCAAGCTCCATAGCTTTGAACCTTGTTTGTGAACCCTATATACCACTTCAATGTTATTTTAGAAGAATGTTTTTTTAATCTGGGAAATGGTAAGAAATAAACATTCTACTTTCAGATGGCAGAAGCACTTGTAAATCCTAAATTACTAAGCTTTAAATGGTTTATTTAGTAATAGATCATTGATAAAAGGCTATCTGTAATTTTAATAACCATAACTATTCCAATAATTAAACACACCATTTTTGAACACTTAAGATTTAAGTGTTTACTTTGTTACTATATTAAGTGCCAGAGTTGGATATGACTCACAGTGACCCTGTATAGGGTTTCTGAGAAGTGGCTGGTGGATTTGAACTGTTAACCTTGCAGTCAGCAGACAGTGCTTACCCTACAATGCCACACCAGGTCTATCTAAATACTTTGTTTTTAAGTGCTGCTGAGTCAATTCTGACTTGTTATCGACCCTGTAATAGGGTTTCCAAGGAACGGCTGATGTGTTTGAACCACCAACCTTGTGGGGTTAGCAGTCCAATGCTGATCCTATAGGAATCCCAAGTACTTTCTAGGGACTCGTTAATTTGATCTTTCCATAACAACAATCTGTGAATTAGAAACCACAATTATCAGTATTTTAGAGGGCAATGAGGCCCAGCAATGAAATATAACTTACTCAAAACCAAAGCTGGCTTGTGAAGGTGAAACTTCAACCAGGCAATCTGACCTGTGTTCCTAACATGCTGCTGCTGCATGTTCTCTGCCAACACTGTGGCACAACTACTTAAACAAGATAATGTGAACCCATGACATATTAACAAAGTCAGGAAATCAAAATTAAGGAAAAAGATTCAGTTCTGTACTATGCTGATGAAATCACATCTAGACTGTATTATTTCTTTAAAAATGTATCAAGACATTGACAAACTGGAGAATATGCAAGAGAGCAAGTGGAAATGGCAAGGACGTTAGAAACTGTCATGAGTACTGAAGGAAGGAAGCAAGGAGTTAGTTAGGATACAAATGCCTCCAGAGGACGATTTGTTGTTGTTAAGTGTCATATAGTCAGTTCCAACCCACAGTGACCTTGTATAGCGTTTCCAAGGAGTGTCTGGTAAATTTGAACCTCCAACTTTGTGGTTCAAACCAACCTTGCGGTCCAATACATTAATCCACAACACCCCACCAGTATTTGCAGAGGACAATACCCATGCTAATTTAGCAAGTGACATATTTCTGTTCAATATGAGAAAGAATGTTAAAAGAGTGATCCACAATCAGAAACGGTTACTTAGATAGTGAGCTCCATTTTTCTTACAGAGTTTTAAAGAACTAGAGGCTAATTTAGGTATTTTGTAAATGGGATTAATAAATCTGATGTAGTCTCTTACAATCATAATGGGAAACAGAGTTTACAGAATTAAATTATAACAAAAAAGTAATTCAGTATGTTAATTTGTCACAATGACCTAAGAACAATAAAAGCTAAACTTTGCAAATCTGAAAGTCAAAATACCCAAATGTAGGGAAAAGCAAGAACAGAAAAAGAGGCAGAGTACCTATCACAAAGCAGCAGTGACAGAAAAATAGCCATAAGGGTTGTTGTTATTATGTGCTGTGGAGTCATTTCCGACTCACAGCGACCCTGTACAGGGTTTTTGAGGCTGTTAATCTTTACCGGAGCAGAAAGCCTCATCTTTCTCCCGCGGAATAGCTGGTAGTTTCGAACTGCTGACCTTGTGGTTCGCAGCCTGATTTGTAACCACTATGCTACCAGAGCTCCTAGCCAAAAGGGTTGTTGTTGTTGTTAAGTGCCATCGAGTCGGTTCCGACCCATAGCGACCCTGTACAGGGTTTCTGAGGGTGTAAATCTTTACGGGAGTAGAAAGCCTCATCTTTCTCCAGTGGAGCAGCTGGTAGTTTCGAACTGCTGACCTTAAGGTTCGCAGCCCGATTCGTAACCACTACACTACCAGAGCTCCTTTAGCCAGAAGGGTAGGAAAGGAAAAATAACTATTTTTACAGCACAAAAAAATTCAGAGAACATTCAGGTTAGATTAACGTTAAGTGGGATTGGAAGTCTTAAATACACTCAGCAGCAAGATATGTTAGCAGCCTTTATAAACGTTGATTACAAACATATTACTAACCCCTCAGTCAACAGTTCATTATCTAAATACATAGTATGGTTCTGAAAGAGGGCAATAAACATTAATCGAATCAACAGTGAATTATGTCATTTCAACCCCACCCCCTCT